TGCCACCACACTTGACAAATTTTATTTTTAGCAGTGACAAGGTCTCACTATGTTGCCCAGGCTGGTCTCAAACTCCTAAGCTCAGGTGATCTTCCTGCCTCAGCTTCTCAAAGTGCTGGGATTACAGGCATAAGCCAGTGAGCCCAGCCTACGCAAAAACTGTTAAACAACTATGGAGTCTTCTCTTTTTTTCCATATTGAGATCTAACTACATTGCCCAGGCCAGTCTCAAACTCCTGGTCCCACCTCAGCCTCCCTAATAACTAGGACCAACTACAGGCGCACACCATCATGCCCAGCCATCTATGGAGTCTTGATATAAAAAGATCTCTTACTATGGATTGTTATCAGAAAGTTTTTTTTTGTTTGTTTTTGTTTTTTTGAGACGGAGTTTCACTCATGTTACCCAGACTGGAGTGCAATGGCGCAATCTCGGCTCACCGCAACCTCTGCCTCCTGGGTTCAGGCAATTCTCCTGCCTCAGCCTCCTGAGTAGCTGGGATTACAGGCACACACCACCATGCCCAGCTAATGTTTTTTTTTGTATTTTTAGTAGAGACGGGGTTTCACCATGTTGACCAGGATGGTCTCGATCTCTTGACCTCGTGATCCACCTGCCTCGGCCTCCCAAAGTGCTGGGATTACAGGCTTGAGCCACCGCACCCAGCCAGAAAGTTTTTAAAATACTGCACTTCACACTGGCTGTCATGAAGTACTTCCTTGTATTTTATGCAAACATAGCAACAGTAACATTAAAAACGCAAGTAGATGGCTAATAGTACCTTAAAATCTTTCATTCAAATCTTATTTTTGCATTTATTTGGTGCTCTACATTTTGTGCCATTATAACTATAGCTAAAGTAACTATCAACAGCAATCATGGCAACTAGCAGGAAGAGCAGCTTTCACTCAGCCAAACGTACTAGAACTACTGCTGCCTATTAGTCCCCAGAGGAATTTCAGCTAGAGAGGCATAGATTTACTACAAAAAGACACAGTATGTTCACTGCAGCTCAGAGGTTCAAATAGTTCTCTCCAAAAACAAACCAAAAAAAAAAAAAGAGCCATTCCTAAAATATTTTTTCTGTGTAATACCGCCTGAGGCTAATATGGTTGGGATTAACATAGAACACAGCCCATTCACTCCACAATAAGGTCTAAGGCTTAAAATGCACTGCCTTGAGAGAAACTACACTAAAATTCCAGCTAAGACACGGAAATATGAGTGTCAAGCTATCAGTTCATTTTTAGATGGCACATTTGGGAGAGGGAAGAGAAGACAACATTTTGTAATGTGAACATTACAAAAACAGATAAAAGAAAAATAGTAAAATGAGGCAGGGACAAAAATAGAAAATGTTAAGGCAAAAGGAAAACTAACCATTATGCTACAGTAAAAAGTTTAATCTAAAATATGGCCAGGCCATATTTTAGATTATAGTGGCTCACACCTGTAATCCCAGGACTTCAGGAGGCTGAGGCAGGCAGATCACTTGAAGCCAGGCGTTTAAGACCAGCCTGATCAACATGGTGAAACCCTGTCTCTATCAAAAATACGAAAATTAGCCAGGTGTGGTGGTGCATGCCTATAAACCTAGTTACTTGGGTGGCTGAGGCACAAGAATCGCTTGAACCTGGAAGGCGGAGGTTGCAGTGAGCTGAGATCGCACCACTGCACTACAGCCTGGTGACAGAGTGAGACTCTGTCTCAGAATAAAATAAAATAAAATATACTATGCAGTCCAGGCTCCATGGCTCATGCCTGTAATCCCAGCATTTGGGAGGCTGACATAGTCAGATCACTTGAGGTCAGGAGTTCAAGACCAGCCTGGCCAATATGGTGAGAACCTGTCTCTACTAAAACTACAAAAATTAGCTGGGCATGAGTTACAACAACTCCTTGATCCCAACAGGTAAATGATGCATTGAGCCAGCACCACTGCACTCCTGCCTGAGAAACAGAGCAAGACTCTGTCTCAAAAAAAAACAAACAAAAAAAACCTAAAACTTATATACATACATATACATACACACACACTATGGAGCCCTAGATACTTTAATCACAGAGCATGTACTGTCTTGGCCAATCATGCTTTGTGCCACATGACCCCACGTCCCCTTCCACAGCCAACTAGGCTAGCATCTCTGGCCTCAAAGAGGCCCCAGGGAAAACCAGACAGTTGGCAGAAGGAGCTGAAGGAGAAGGCATGAAAATAAATAATAAAGTTGGGTTAGGGGATTGACAAGATAAAGTTGTGAAGAATCAGACACAATAGGTACAGAGGCTATGTGCAAAAGATACAGAGTAGGGAGAAAGAGAATAAAGCATGTCAAAAATGCAGAGTAAACACGTGCAGCTCCTGAGAGAGTGATAACTCGCCAGTAGAGATTCTGATTTCTGGCAGCTTTCTTGTTTTCTTATATGTATTTCTTCCTTCAAGGTAGTTTGAAAGAATTATATCTGAAGCAGGAAGAAAACTAAGAACACAAATGACTAAAAGGGTTTACACCTATTTTGTTTCCACATTAAAAAGAACCTCTAAAAACCTTTATCATTGAAAGTCTGAGCTACAAGAGTCCTTGGAATCAGACCAATTCACTATTTTAGAGATGAGAAAATTGGGGACCACAAAGTAATCTAAGGTTACACAGATAGTGACAGAGCAAGGACAAAACTAAGGACGTCTATTTCCGTAGCCATTACTCTCTGTCCTATGCTGCACTAAATAACACCAACATAGAAACAGTTTCCTCAAAACAAGTATTTTGCAACACATTTTAGAGTGAATCAGAAATTTTATGTGCATATGTCTCTTTCCACAGTTTAAGTTTTCCATTTATTTATTCTATGGCTCTGTTATGCTTATAAAATACATTCATTAGATTTCTCCTTTTTTTCCTCACATATATTTTAAAAATTAATCTGTCACTGAAGAAGTAACACCAGCAATTCATCAGGCCCCTGGCTTTTTCCTTCTACAACTTCGTATTTTAAAACAGTATTTCACTATGGGAGGCCGAGACGGGTGCATCACGAGGTCAAGAGATTGAGACCATCCTGGTCAACATAGTGAAACCCCGTCTCTACTAAAAATACAAAAATTAGCTGGGCATGGTGGCACACGCCTGTAGTCCCAGCTACTTGGGAGGCTGAGGCAGGGAAATTGCTTGAACCCAGGAGACGGAGGTTGCGGTGAGCCGAGATCACGCCATTGCACTCCAGCCTGGGTAACGAGCCAAACTCAGTCTCAAAAAAAAAAAAAAAAAAAAAAACAGTATTTACTTAGGACGTGTTATTGCACATATTGCATAACAGTGTTTGAACTCAAAGCAGTACAGAGCAGATACTTTAAGTGAAAAATAAACTTCAATTAAGGATCATAGAGATTTCCTTGAAGAAAAACTCATAACCAACATCAGTAAAATTCAGGAGAAAATAGTGCAAGAACAACGGAAAGTGAAAAGGGACTCCTGAAATGTATCAAGTCATTCCTGATGAAATTTAATGCATTCATTCAGGGTGTCTTGTGAACAAAAACTACAACTTGTAAACACAAATCCCAAACTGGGGAAATTATTAATCAGTGAGAAGGCGCAGAGAGAAGTAAGAAAAAGTTGACACAGGGTAAATATGGTGAAGCCCAGAGACAGGACTGCAGAACACCTTTCTGCCTACTCTGATGAAACAAACACTTAAGCGCCTCTAAGGATCCCCAAAGGACAGATGGACACACATATACACACACACCTGAGGGGGAGGAGAGAGGTGAATAAATTCTTGTATTTCTAAAGCTGATCTACAGAAAAGCAGTGTCATCAATTTCCTAAGAACATTCTCAGCCATCTTAAAACAGCAGAAATTAGGAAGATGACATATTTTAACGAATCCTTTGCTTAGCTTTAGGATAACAAAGTATAAAGTGAACAACATATAACCAAAGGTGCTAATGATTAAACAAAGAAAAGCGCAAAACTCAAGTCCAAAGGCCACTTCGGTCACTTCAGTCATAGCTAAGTATTACATTCAAAGGATCTTTTCATCAAATGAAGAACTAATGACGTTATAGGTCTGTTATTTTTTAATTCTAACCACTTAAAGCGGTGTGTTTTGATGGATGAGAAAACTCAGGCTGAGAGCCTTAAGTAACCAAGATTACCAAGGCAGGCAGTGAGACAAAACCAGGCAGGACTCGAACCCTGGCTGACTGAGCCATTCTCATTACCGCCACAGTCAACACAGCAGTTTAAGTTCAACCTTACTAGTCACCCAGGAGATGAGTTTTGAAGACAGAGTTTAAAAGGGGCATCTGACTTTCTCTCTCTCCCAAAGTAGAACAGAACTTGGCTGTCAAAACAAAAAAAGAAGTGAACGCTGTGCCGCCCGGGCTCTCCAACCCACAGCCCGGACGGAGCCCGCCCCTCTCGGCTCGCGCAGCCCCCGCCACGCTCCATTCTCCGTCCGGGCCGAGGGGCCGCAGCTGTCAGACGCCAAGGGACAGAGACGCGGCCCAAAGCAAGAGACAAAGAGCCTTTCTGGCTGCGGCCGGAGGCTGCCGGCCCGTGCCCTAGCCGGGTTTCCGCAGCTGCGGCCCCGGCGTGGGGAGGACCGGAGCCGGGGGCGCGGCAGCGGAGGAGCAGCCGCCGGTGCCGAGGGGCTGCGCGAGAGGCGCGGGCCCGGCCGGCGGACTCGCCCCCTCCTCATTACCTTACCTTGGGCTTCCCGTCACGGTCGCCGCCGTCACGGAGCTTCTGAGCCGAGGCGACGCAGCGAGAGCTGATTAGCGGGCGTCAGCTGCGTCCCGCACTGGCGAAGCAGCTCCAGGTCGGGACGGAGAAAGGCCAGGGGGCGGGAGTCGAGAGGAGGTTGGTTCCCAGCTTGTGCAGATTTTACTCCGCTAGTCCCTAGCACTCGGCTTCCGCTCCGCCTCCCGACCGGCCCTTCCAGCACTCTGGGACTAGCCGCCCGTGGCGCGAGGCATTGTGGGAGATGTAGTATCAGAATGGGGAAGCGGCGGCACGTGCTTCCAGCAGCTCCGCACCTACCCGGGATCAGAACGACGCCGTTGCGCGGCAACCAGAGAGGGGCGGCGGGCTCTTCCGTATTGGAAGATGAGCCCGCCAGAGATATACTCTCTGCCTTAACTCGCTGCAGGCGGTTGAAGAAGGGCTACCTCCAGTGAGAAACCAACCTCCCAATACAGTTGACCTGAGGCTGGGAAAGCTTAGTGGTGATTTAAGTGTGCTACGGATGAGAATGCCAACTATTGCAGCCGAAGGTCCTTAGCCAGTGGAGTGAGGCAAGAAAAATAAAAGGATTGAAGATTAAATAGGAGTAAACAAAATTATTTTTTCATAGGTGATATAATTATGTATGTGGAGCCCGGGCGCCGTTGGCGCATGCCTGTAATACCAAAACTTTGTGAGGCCAAGGTGGGCGGATCACCTGAGGTCGGCAGTTCGAGACCAGCCTGACCAAAATGGTGAAACCTCGTCTCTACTACAAATACGCACTTAGCTGGGCGAAGTGGCAGGCGCCTGTAATTCCAGCTTCTCGGGAGGCCAAGGCAGAAGAATTGCTGGGACCCTTTTGGCAGAGGTTGCAGTGAGCTGATGTCATGCCACTGCACTCCAGCCTGGGCAACAAGAGCGGAACTCTG